ATCTCGATTTCTATGCTTTCTCTTCCATTTGCATTAGTTCAACGTATTTAAAGTTATTCTTGAAAGTTGGGCCAAACAAATGAGAAGTTTTTCCGGATGATTGTACAATTGCACACGGAACGGTTAAAACTTAATCAAACGTATACTCAAATGATGAAATCATTTCTTGGGATGACTCTATTTTCATCCAAATAATTGAGGTAAGTGCTTACCCAGAGTGGGTAGAGTAACTGTATCTCCAACCAACACGGTGTTGATGTCACATCCTGTCTTGGATAATCAGGTCCCCAGCCTTTGAAGCCAACTTGATAGTATTGCCATAATTGAAGCTAACAAATTCCATACCTTTCACAAACGATAGTCGTATGAAGCAAACTTTCTGCAAAGCGTGTAACTCCTCTGCACCTCTCATCTTGGCATTTTGCAGCATCTAAACAATATCTGAGTAACATTTGAATAGAACGATCGAATAACGATATACCTGCTGGAAAACGATATTGCTGAAAACGCAGACTGCTGCACTATGAGCAGGCACACGACATACAGTGGTCTGTTCCTGATGCATGTTGTAGTTCAAATTTCGCGACTGCACAAAGATGGATGACTCGGAGAGATTTTGTATGTAGAGATCATAGTCGCTTGTGTACACCAGGCTGATTCCTAAACACTTTTGAATCAACAGAGCTTTTTTCGGGCTGCTGAAGAAACCTGCCTTTTCCTATATGTCGCCGTGTGTTCTCAATAGTAGGATTTCGATTAACGTTTGAGAGAAGTCCAAGACAAATGCGATCGTCAGAGTTAGGATCCGTGAAACCATCCACTATCAACTCGTTCTTATAAACCTAAGAATTTCATACATTTTTTTGCGCTAAAAACGGCAAGAAACAGGATACTGGTCTCTAAAGTACCAGAAAAACCTAAGTTGTAGGACGACGCTTCGCGAGAGAATCAATTTCGAATTTCTTTGAAAAACAAAATTACGAAGATATGGAAATGTTCTGTTGTTACCTTCTAATATTAAAAACCTTGCTATATGTTTTGTCAGTCCCAAATATGCTATGTCCTTTTTTTTACATTTCCAAAAGTTTCTCTGCGATTACATTGATAGTGACCTATTTTTTTTACATGCATGATTGATTTCATAGGTTGTAATCAACCAAGTTTTCCTTCACCCAAAAGGCATCTTGGTTAATACTTACTGAAATACGCGCCGCAATGCAAACCATAAAGGCAGTCACCGCTCCGGGATAGGGCCACGTTTCGGCAAACCCGAAAAATCCTTTTTCATAAGAAAGGCAATAGGGAGGACCTTCTAAACTACCGTCCTGGCTCGCTATCGAGAAAACTGGATGAAGCTCAGCCTGTAGAACAAGCTGGATTTTGCAAGTGAGTCAGCTGCTTAACTCAAACCCAGACAGTTTCGAGGATTATCGAGGTTTGCCGAGAGTACCGCTTACGTCTCATCCTAACCTTTGTCGACTATGAGAAAGCGTTTGACAGCGTCGAGACTAATGC